GAGGGAGGGAGGGAGGGAGGGAAGGAAGGAAGGAAGGAAGGAAGGAAGGAAGGAAGGAAGGAAGGAAGAAAAAGTCTTGAGATAGGGATCATTCTTCCTACGAGGGTGTGCTGAAAGTACACACGTCCTCATGGGAGGGAGGGAGGAACTTAAACACAGACAGAATAGAAGGTACTTGGACCATAAAAACAGAAATTGGTATGATGCCATCAGAAGCCAAGGAATGTGGCAGCCACCAGAAAATGGAACAAACAAGAAAAAGACTCTTCCCAAAAACCTCAGAGGGAGGCTCCATTTTGGCTCAGTGAAACTAATTTCATATTTGCAGCTTCTAAAACTGTGAAAAAATAAATTTGTCACTTAAGTCACTAATTGCAGCAGCCATTGGGAACTGAGGAAGTAAGCAGAGGCCACTGGGAGGGCCGTGGCACCGTTCACAAGGCTAAGGAGAACAGAGAACACAATAGTGAGGACCTAAAATGAAACACAACTTCACAACACACACAGGGCAAATCTGAACAAACAAACAAACAAAATACACTTGAGAAAGCTGGTTGTCTCAGTCATCTCAGCTCTAACTATAGAAAAGCTTTCAACAGACTGGTCTCACGCCACCACCCCCTCCCTTTTGTTGGAAACCTAAGACATGGTTTACATACGGTCTCCATCAAGTGACATTTACTGTGTCACAACGGTGCCGGCCCCTGGAGTGACACAGTGTCTCTGGAATATCTGCTTCATAACTAGAGGTCCAAGAGCTACCTGGACTATGGGTCACTTACTTAGGCCATTCAGGTTGGCAATTTTTTCAATGCAGTTTGTAGACAGGGAAAGCTTCCTTTAAAAAAACAAAACAAAGAAAAACTTTAATTAATAAGAATACCCTAAGTGGAATGTCAGAAGTTATTTATCTATAGTAATGCCCATGGAAGATTTTAAATTCATGTTTCTTTTTATACTGAATAATTTTCCCCTTCAGTCATAGAATTTAGTCCTTCATTTTGAAATCTTTTCCCCCATTGATCACAAGAGTTAATACACATTCATAACAGAGAATTAAAAACAAACTTTTAAAGTGCAATTTGGTGTTATCTATTAAATGTTTAGTACATGTATTCTTTGAATCAATATTTCGTAGTCTTCTGAGATATTATCTTTACTGCATTTTACAAATGAAACTGAGGTGCAAAGCTATTAAACAATTTTCCCAATATTACACAGTTACAAAACAGCAGGGCCAAAATTGAACCCTAGAACATGTATCTTACCCTCATGATTTGACTTGAGGAGGGATTATTCATTTTTAATCTGCTTGAGAAAGCAAAGGCAGTTACTATATAAATAGCTGGTAAGTGCAGGGTTAAAGCTGCCGATTTTCTAGTTACTCACCGACTCCCGACCACTACCCATGGAGAGAGGAATGCCTTTAAATCTAAGAATATGGCTGGGAAGGAATTCTATGATTCCTCTTGTGGCAGCCTGTCCAAAAGATGTCTGTAAAACTATCTACAGGCTGGCTCTTCCTGCATGCTTTCTGTGGGCGTGCTTTGGTACATCGCACAAACCAACCCCAAACTCGCTGCCTTTCAGACGGTTTTATGATAAAGAACATATTTTGATTACTTTGAAGCCATAGTAAAAAAAGAAGTTTTGAAGCAAAACTTTTTCCCTGTGCTATCGTATGCCTTCATCACAAGGAATAAGTGGAACTCAGTAACTAAATGTGTTTTCTTTTCCTTTTAACTCAAAGATATCAGCCTAATAGGTTTGAAGATATGTGCCCAGAAACAGTCCAATTCGCTTACTGTAAATAACACATTAAGGTTGCATTAGAAGACATTATGCTCTGCGAAGCTGGGACTGGGCTTCCCTCCTACAGAAAGGGCAAACAAAGAGGCCCTCATTAAATAAACACAGGGTGAAGAACAGGAAAGAACCTTGGGAACTCTAGAGTATTCTACAGCCCTGACAAGAGACAAGGAAGCATGAAAACACGGGTATGATATCTCAAAATATTGTTTCAAGTTAGCTACAGAACCCTGCTAAAAACTGTATGGAAAGTGGTGTGTTTAGAAAGTAAACAAAAGGAATTAATATCAACCTGATATTTAAAGACCTAGAAAGTAAGATTACAAAATAAGTATACTTTGGTCCCAATTAGAATTTTTTGTTTCTTTTTATGAGACAGCATCTCATTTGACGCTGTGCTAAAGCTGCTCCAGCCCCAGCCTCCCATTTCACAGCCTCCTGAGATCACAGGCACACGCCACCATACCCAGTCTGATTATAATTATTCTCAAAATGCTGATACTAGTCCCACAATGTATTACAATTTAAGCCTATGTTAATTCCTATTTTCATATTGATTGTATTTTCCAAGCATTGAACTGTATTTTAAACTTTTGTTTCGTTTCTTTTTTTAAGGGGTGATCTCTTGGGCATCTAGTAAATAAACATGATTTTTATTTTGGTGGGTAACTTTACAAGAGAAAGAAACAATGTTAATTTTGTCTTACTGTTTTATTGCTGTACTGTGGGTGGAACCCATGGCCTTGCACATCAAGTGCTAGACAAGTCCTTCTACTGAGTCTGACCTGCAGCCCACCTTTCACCATGTGTGTAGGATGTGCACGTGTGCACACACAGGTGGAGGCAGGCCTGATGTTGATGAATCACGCTCCTGAATCACCGGCCATCACTCTCCCACCTTGCTCCCTGAGGCAGGCTCTCTCAGTCAGACTCAGAGCACACTGACACAGCACGCTTGCTCTGGAGATCCCTTGTCTCTGCCCTCTGAGCTGGGAATCACCAAGCACTGATGTGGGTTCTGCAGAGCTGGACTCCAGGCCTCAGTGTTTGGCAGGTGCTTAGACCACTGACCATCCCTCCAGTCTACTCCCAGGTTGTTTTCTTTTTTTATTTCACTCTGAGACACAGTGTTGATAAGTTTCCAGGGTTAACCTTGAACTACTATCCCTCTGCTTAGGAAGTAGGCTGCATAACAAAGTAATAATTTATTGTGTTATTTTAGCTTCTTCCAAAAGACTAGGAAACTTCTATCTACAAATATTTTATAAGAGCTGCACAAAAAAAAATGTTACACAGTATCACTCTATCAAAAATTTCAAAAGTTTTCACATTTGGCTTTGTCAGTGAGAAATTATAATAAACAACAACAAAAGCCACAGAAAGCAAACATTTTTCTAGTTTGTATATGAAAAGGAAGGAGAACAGAACAACAATAAGAGAATGGGAAAGGGGAACTTACTCGCAGTTACCAAGTGTGGACAGAGATGCATCCATCTTCTCTATGGGGGGAATCTGGGCATACAGCTTTATTTCTTTGGCATCAGATGGCTTCTGACCAGTCTTTTCTTCCTATGGGAAAAATTAATTTGGCACAAAATGTCCCTTGTTTGTAATGTGGAACAAAAGAAGTCAGAATTTCATAAGGCCTTCCAATGTTTGTTTCAAAATAATTACTATACTTTAATAACTTAGATTACTATCCCCCATTTACGTATTGGCCTTTGCACTTAGTGGTCCTATAGCCAAGCTTCTATACACCTGAGTCAGATAATCATTAAGACCTATAAATGGATATAAGCAGAAAAAGAACTTCTCTTTGTACTATTTAAGCTCTTTAAGAATCTATCAATAATGACTGGGTGGTTGGTGGTGGATGTCTTTAATGCCAGCACTCAGCGGGGAGGCAGGCGGGTCCCCTACATCTTCATGTCCTCTTTCCCTCAAGCCCTAGAACTGGGCCCAGCATCTTACATGCTTCTGGGAATCTCAACTCGGGTACTGGTGCTTTTGCAGCAAGCACTTTACCAACTAAGTACTCTCCCCAGCCTCTCCATGCCGACTTTCGTCACATTTATAGGTTAGGGTACAGGAACCTGACACTTAGTAGGTCTTCAGTAAGTGTTGGATTATTTGTGCCAATACGATGGGCCTAGAGTACTCCTTTATTTTGGATGAAATGCAAAAGGCCCAGAGGACAAATATTTCATGTTTCACTCATGCGTGGAGGTTAACAAAGTTGATCTGATCTCATAAAGAGGAGACTAATAGTTACCAGAGCCTGGGAAGAACGGGGAGGAAAGACAAAACTAGCCAGATAGGAGGGGCAAGCTGGAGTGTTCTCTGGTACAGTAGAGCGATTATGATAAATTTGTACATTTCAGATAAGATTGCATGCAATCAGGGTGGTGTGGCCATAGACTCTGTATTTCAAAAGAGCTATAAAAGGAGATTGTTATTACCACAAGGAGAAATAAAAATTTTGAGGTCAAAGATATGCTAATTACCTTAATAAAATGATATGTTTTAAATATGTATGAAAATGTCACATGGTACTCTGTATATCTGCACAACCTTTACAAGTCAATTAAAAGACTTTTACATGTTAAAAAAGAGAAGGTTGGGTTAATCATTAAAAACAGTTGCTTAATGTCTACAAAGATCTTAGACTTAAAGACTATTGGCTATAATGTAACTAGAAATAGAATCTGATAAGGTCCTAAAGGTAAGATAAAGTCCTAAAATACAATTTAAGGAAGATTAAATGTGAGTTTATCTCACATTCTTCCTTTAAGAAATTCTATGATGAAAAATCCAAAAAAAAAGAAATTTTATGAAATATGTAGCCCAGCAGAAATGTGCATGTATGTGTGTGTCTGTGTGAGTATGTGTGAGTATGTGTGAATGTGCTTGCACAAGTGTACCTATGAAAGCCAGAGGCTGATATTGGGTGTCTTCCTCAATCACTGTCTTATTTATTTATATATTTATTTTTGGCTTTTGGAGGCAGGGTCTTCTGTATCCCAGGCGATGAACACATCACATAGTCAAGTGTGACCTTGAACTTACGTTCATACTATGTCCATGTCCTGAGTGCTAAGATTGTATCAGACCCAGGGCTCTGTGCACACTAGGAGAGCATTCTACTCTTAGTTGAGTTTCACCCCTACCATCTTCCTTCATTCTTGAGACTGGCTCCCACTGAACCTGGAGCTTCCAGACACAGCTAACCTGGCCAGTAACCCCCAGGAATCCTCCTGTCTCTGCCTCCTCAGCACTGGGATTTACAGGCGCTGCTACACCCGGTGTTGTATGTGGGTGCTAGAGATGTGAACTCAGGTCCTGTACTTATGCACCAAACACTTTAACTACCGAGTCACCTGCCCAGTCCCAAGAAATGAATCCTTAAATGCGGTTAGAATAAATACAGAAATGTAGAGGCGCTAAAATTAGAATTCAAATATCTCATTATTCTATTCACTTTTGTCTCTACTTCCCTGATACCTAGGCTGCTGAAAGATTTTTACTCAAAAGTCTAGCTATGCGGGGCGGTGGTGGTGCACGCCTTTAATCCCAGCACTTGGGAGGCAGAGGCAGGCAGATTTCTGAGTTCGAGGCCAGCCTGGTCTACAGAGTGAGTTCCAGGACAGCCAGGGCTCCACAGAGAAACCCTGTCTCGAAAAACCAAAAAAAAAAAAAAAAGTCTAGCTATAGAGATGCATAGCTCAATGGTTCAGACAGTAAATCAGAGGCTAGGTATGCACGCCATGGTAGTGTACTTGCTTAGCATGAGTAACCCCTGGGCTCATCCACCCCAGCAACACACACACACACACACACACACAATCCCCAAAGAGATCATTTGTCCAATTTTCCCCAGTGGTAATGTTCAGCAAAACTATAAAATATCACAGTCGGGGTATTGTTACTGATAATCCAGCGTTTACTCAGATTTTCCACAATCTGCCTGGTATCATTTGTGTTTGTGAGTGTGTGTATATTTATACTGTATGTTAACTCTTATACAATTTCATTACTTGTGTAGGCTCGGGCATCCACTACCACCGTCTCCAAATCAAAAGAATCTCTTGTGCTGAATAGCCAGATATAAACAACAGCTCAAATCTTCCTTGTATAGTTTCTAAAAGAAGGAAAAGCCATCTACTCACCCATTTGGACAGGGCTTCTTTGATTGTTGTTGCTTTCGCCTTAAAAGGGGCGGGGGAGAAGAAATAAGGCAGTGTTTAGTGCTGTGATTTGTTGATTCACTTTCATTGCATTAACTACTGGCCTTGGCTTCTACCATTAAAGCATTCAATTCTTTCCTTGAAATTCTAAGATATAAGCACAGTTAATCTCCTGAGAACCCAGTGATTTCTTTAAATACCTCCCAGGGAAAATGTGGAAATTATTGTGTCATATCCAAACATTTTACTCCAACTTGGTTTATAAATAAATAGCTTTCAGTATTTGATATTAAAATAGATTTTTCCACTGATTCTATATCATTTTTATATCTTTTTTGTTTGTTTGTTTTGTTTTGTTTTGTTTTGTTTTGTTTTTTTCCAGACAGGGTTTCTCTTTGTAGTCCTGGCTGTCCTGGAACTCACTCTGTAGACCAGGCTGGCCTCAAACTCAGAAATCCGCCTGTCTCTGCCTCCCAAGTGCTGGGATTGAAGGCGTGCGCCACCACTGCCCAGCTATCTTTTTTATATCTTAACATCAAAAAGTAAACACACATTCTTATTATGAACAATTTACAGTCACTGAGGCAAGATAGCTGTTGTAAAATTTTAGAAAAATATTAACAATATTATTATAATATATATTGCTTCTTCATGTCTGCAAAGGATAACCTGACCAAAAAATCTGACTCTAGGGCTTTGCACATGGAAGGGAAGCATTATATTTTGCAAATAAAACTATATGTAAAAGAGTATTTAAATATATGTAAAAGAATTCCTAATAAAGAGCTGTATTAATCAGTACAAGGAGGCTAAAGAGACCTCTCAGTTATTAAGAGCACGTTTTGCTTTTCCAGAGGACCCGAGTTCAGCTCCTAGCATCCATGTAAAGCAGCTCACAACCATCTGTAACTCCAGCACCTCCAGAGTATCTGTGCCTCTGGCCACTCACACACACACACATACACACACACACACACCCATGGAAACGTAATAAAAATGAGTCTTAAAAATCAAGTACAAAATAAATATTCAAAATGACAGGAAAGTATCTGGTATAATTTATTTTTACAAATTTTTTATCATAAATTATTTTTATAATTTTTAAATATTTTATATTTTTATAATTTTTTATTTTTATAATTTATTTTTCTTTCTTAGTAGAGCATAAAATGTTTCATCTAATAATAAATAGCATCTTTGATTCAATATAATATATTAAAAACTTTGAAAGTATACAACAGCCGGGCAGTGGTGGCGCACGCCTTCAATCCCAGCACTTGGGAGGCAGAGGCAGGCGGATTTCTGAGTTCGAGGCCAGTCTGGTCTACAGAGTGAGTTCCAGGACATCCAGGGCTACACAGAGAAACCCTGTCTCAAAAAAACAAAAAAAGGAAAAAAAAAGAAAGTATACAACAGAAGATGTCCTTAATGAATTAAGAGGAACCATAAACAACAGCAAATAGAAAAAAAAGTCAGATATTACTACATCTAGAAAGTAGAAATCTGTACTAATAACTCATAAGTACAAAGAGAAAAAAAAGAAAATGCTGAGGTATCCCACAGCGGTCAGCATGCTTCCCTTCCATGCCCAAAGCCTTACAGCCAATCCTCAGGATCCAACGGTGTTATGGGAAGGGGAAATCAAAATTTGATAGGAAACTTCTGTTGTCATTTGTATTGCCAGAAAACACAGTTTAAGAAAGAAATGAGCTAAGTACTCAGCATACTTTAGAAAGTTACCAGTGCAAACTCAAAGAAGACAGAAGAAAGAAAAAGGAAACACTAAAAGGAGGTTCTTCTATCTCTTGCAAGCTTGACTGGGCAAAAATGAAAGACACATAAATTAAAGAATATGAGAAATATTAATAACTACTTACTTCAGAGATTCTAGAAATAAAATATTTAGAAGTAAAATATGGCAATAGCTTTAAGACATAAACAACATATGTACTCCTAGAAAAAAAAAAGAGCCCCAACTATCAGAAACTTTGAACAGGCTATAATATTTAAAGCATTCAAATGGCACCAGAGACTTAGCCTGTTCTCTTCCCCCAAAGCTCCAAGCCTACACAGTTTACAAGTGAGTCCTAATAACTTTTTGCGAACAAATATTCTTTGTTATACATGTTGTTTCAAAAACCAGAAAATGTGTGGAAGCTGTACATTGCTGAGGATTCTGTAAACTGTGTCACAGCCACAGCACAAAGCCCTCTTCATTTTTCAACATAGAATTGATTCTACAGACATCATCAGTATCTTCAAAGCCAATGACGTATAATGACCATTAATGACCATGATCAAAATAGTTTATCTTGGTCAGGTAGTGGTGGCACATGCCTTTACTGTCAGCACTCAGGAAGCAGAGGCAGGTGGTTCAAAGGAAAGAAGGAAAGAGAGAGAAAGAGAGAAAGGAAGGAAGGAAGGAAGGAAGGAAGGAAGGAAGGAAGGAAGGAAGGAAGAGTTTATCTCAACAATACAAGCAAAACAGAGCAATCTCTGTTTTGTGTCGATCATTAGTGAATGGATTGAAGGGAATCATCTTTACTTTAATAAGCACAGGAAAACATACACATCCTACACTACATAATAAAAGCTGTCAGGTGCGAATTAAGTTGGGGAACTCAGTTCCACAACTGTTTGCTGTATGTCTACTGTGTGACTAGCATTCTTTTGTTTTTGTTTTTTTGAGACCGGGTTTCTCTTGTAGCCCTGGCTGTCTTGGAACTCATTCTGTAGACCAGGCTGGCCTCGAACTCAGAAATACGCCTGCCTCTGCCTCCCAAGTGCTGGGATTAAAGGCGTGCGCCACCACCACCCGGCGACTAGCATTCTTCTATGCTGTATTTTTTTTTCTGAGTCCTGAGATAACAGGTGTGCACCATCATGTCTGGCTTTCTATTTGATTTTGACATATCAACGAACAAATCAGATTCCTGCCTTCCTAGAACTTAAGATCTATTCAAGGAAGTAGATGTATATATGTGTGTGTATAAAATATGCACATGCATATGTATATGTAACCATATATATATTCCACATTCATACATAAATAAATACAACATAATAAAATACTAAGTAAAATAAGTAGTATATTAGAAGGACAAAGTTATTAATGGTATCAGGTTATATGCATATATGTGTAGAGAACACACCTTTTAAATAAGCTGGTCACTATGAACTGACTGGGACAACATTAAAATAATTTTCTTTAGGATCCCAATCACATCAAGGTCGTCCATTATCGCTGCTAGTTTAACACTAGGGCTCTTTGTCAATGTTGTAATAAAACAAGTACACACTGAACTGATCTGAAGAAAGAGATTAAACTGAGTGCAGATAATGCTCCATGTCTGTTAGTACAGGTGGTTCAGTCAGGAGGCCACACACTGACAAAGCTAACAGCAAAATCAGAAGACAGTTTCCGCCTGAAACCAATAAGACTATGACAGCATGTGGTATATATACAAGAAGCTACTAAAATTCACAAACAAAATTTAAATTAACAAAACTATGAATTAATAATTCATAGAGAGTCAACTCCAGGCAACCAATTAGACAGACTATCAAGTGTTTGTATTCACTGAAAATCAGAAAAATTAAGAGTAAAACAATAGAATTTCATATATATATATATATATATATATATA